GACTGGCTGACGACGGCTAATAAGCCAGAAATGGCCATTCTAGTCTCCCTTGTCTTTGTCGGTAATACCATTCTGCCTATATATCACGCGCCGCTGTGCGGCTGCTGGTTGCGCTCGAGAGAGAGCCCTTAAGGCAAACGGAACGAGTGAGTTCCGTATGAACGATCGGTGAGCGCCCCTTACCATTGAAAATTTCGTCATTATCCTGAATTCGATGCTCTTTAGGTATCACATCGTGCTAATTTTGAGCAGCTGTGGTTAAAGCTGGCATTGGTCCCGTAGATGAGGTCACCAAATGATCATTTACGCCAATCACTGCTGATTCGAAAATCCACTGTGCAACATAACGACGACCACAACGTCGGCCGTGCTACTGTATATGCGCGTGTGGCACGCGTAGACAATACTTCATAAAATACACCAGATCTCATCGCTCGGCAAGGTCCCTATAGCATGGGAGTAGTGAGACTGAGGTGATTGTATAGCTCGGTCGTGGTTAGAAATGATCGTCAGACTGTGGTGATTCGACCTTCAAGGTATGTAAGCATCTGCTATGCCACGATCTGCAAGCCATGGCCCTCGCAGCCTGGCAGTCCCCTGACAACTGGTTCCTGGCCGATAGATGCGTTTGCTCTCCCGCTGGGAATACAGGTCGTGTGCAAGGCTGCCCAGTCATCCTCGCCTTTCTGACCCGTTGTAGTGCTGGTGTTGTTGGTTAAAATCCTGGTCGGGCATTTGTTCCGGACCCGGAGGCGTGGTGGTGTGCCTAGGTGCGGGTGCGGCCGTGCCAGCCACCTGCGCCATCTCCCGCCTCTGGTCTTTTTGATTATGTTTCGACACCGGGCGCAGGCGGGGTGTAGGAGCGAGTGTTGCAGATGCTGTGCAGGTCTGCTCTCATTATAAACAGCAAGTCACCGTGTCTGCTTCACCCTGCTGTGGAGCACACGGGGGACCGAATTGTCGGTTCGACTTAGATGTGGTTTTATAATATCCTCGCCAAGGTGAAATCAAATGCCTCTAGAATGAAGCCTGAAACATATGGAGTTAAGAACAAGATCATTTATGACACACGTAGACGGACTGTTAAGTTCCCTGGCGGCCACCTGCGTTCGCATTGACTATGTCTTATTATCCTAACGTGGAAATAAAGAACAAAGTAGATGACACATAGACGTGCTTCACTTCATGGAATTCGTCTCTGCACACATCTAGTAGGGTTGTGGTAAATCTCACCACTTTCGACCGTCGAATTATCTTTTGCTGTAGCAGGTATAGTTATGATTCAGGAGTCAGCATTGTAGGCTGGTATCCGCTGTTTTGTTGAACACAACTACAACAACGTCATGTCACTTGACTCCTCCTGCTTCAAACAAAGTGCCATCGATAGTGTTCGGATAAACCTGTCTCAGTGCTTCTCATAGTAATCCTACGGCCAACCTTAAAAAAATTAACTTTACAAATTTGGATTTGAACATTATTTTAACATAAGGCGCAATGTCAGACACCGTTTCAAAAGATGTTCACATATACGATAGTTCGACCGCCGCATCCGACGATGTCCACCGTGTGCCCCACAGCAGATGGTTGGAGCAGGGACGGTGACTTGCGCAGGGGTTTATAGTGCCGGTAGACTTGCGCTGCATCTACCACACTCTCTCCTCCTCCCCTGCCTGAGGCCGGTGTCAAGACAGAGTCAAAAAGACCGGAGATGAGGGAGGTCGCAGGTGGATGGCTTGGACGGATCCTCACCTTGGCGCTCCACTCCGCACCCCTTGGTCCACACAGCAAATAACCAGGATTTTGACCGCCAAAAATGGGGTGATGGCAGTGGCCCAGTTGTGCGACGACTGCCGACAGCAGGGTCTGCCAGCGCACCCCGTAAATATTGGCATTTGTCATTGCGCAAAAATAACACCTGCCAGAATCCGATGTGGCTCCCGTGTTGGTCCAGCGCATCTAACACGTGGCCCGTTTGGGGGGTACAACGTTCATATATAGTAAATAAACGACAGTTCAACCATCAAGAGGGACGACGTACGTCGTGCGCTCCACGAGATGCGCACGCAATGATGACGTGCGCATGAAATGGTTTATGGTGAGAAATAATTGCTTCGAACCTACCGCCGCAATCTCTCCTCGCTAACCCACACTGCGGCGATGGCAAGGCAGTCTTAAAATGACCAAAAGCAGACTCGGGCACAGTGACTGACAAAAGCTATACAGTGGTGGAGGAGCGCTCACCGATCGTTCTTACGGATCTCACTCGTCCCGTTGTGCCTTAGGGGTTCTCTCTCGAGCCCAACCGGCAGCGAGATCGAGCTCCAGGTGTTCCACACGTCGGGAATGGGTGTGACTGGCTGACGATGGCAAATAAGCCAGAAATGGCCATTCCGGTCTCCCTTGTCTTTGTCGGTAATAATATTCTGCCAAAAGCCATACAGTTTGCCTAAGCGTGCCAAACACAACCTAGTCTCCGCAGCATGTGTCAGGCTTTAGCGAGAGAGTGCCATGCGAGGTAACACTAGTAGTGAGTCATTACAGCCTGAGTTTCAGTCCTGAGAAGGACCAAATTATCTCGCCAGTTGGCAGGCTCCAAGCTACGACTTTCAACGCATCATGATGGGTTCAAGCGCGTCGAATATATTATAGAGAGACACGGATTTATATGCCATAGAGATGGATTCCCCAGATCTGTCTCACTCTCCTCCTTCCCTCGTCCATGCATTAGTTGACCGTCGAAGCCTATAAAGCAGGTGATGCTAGGATTGCGCTCAGCGGCTGAAGTGACTTGAATACCTGCGTCTAATCGTGGTACCACACCAGCCACTAATGTACGACTGGAGTTGTGCCCTTGCACGAATTCTGCGCCGCCCGACTAGCGCATGCAGTGGCTTAATCAAACTTCCGCTTTGGTCCACCGCATATACAGCGTAGGTCGTTTTACTGGGTCATAATAAATATCCAATTATATGTTCATGCTACCAATGCCGATTTATTCTGTCGCCAGCATCTCCTAGATATTAAGTCCTTTGGAAGAATGCTGGAGATATTCGTTGCATAGCCCACAGTTTTGTCGACATGAAGTACGACCTTATAATTCAGGAGCTAGATGATTTACGTAGTCATGAAGAGATGTTAAACATAAACGTAACTTCGCATACGTCACATTCATGTCGACTCAGCTGTGAAAAACTCGGCGCCTCAGTGGGATTCGAACCCACGACAATAAGGGGACGGCTTTAGTACGGCCAACGCCCTAACCATCTGAGCTACGAGGCCCCGTCGGACGACGTGAGTTTAATCACATTTGGGTCAAGTTACCCGCCCAACCTACTGCAACGTCTGGAATACACCAAATTTGATACGGTAAGTTGACTGCCCAAGCAGGATTTTCTAAGTAATTAATCTAGAATCTACTAGATGACTACCAGACTCACGTAATTCAAATCCGCCGAAACCTCTATGAATTACGTGAGCCTGGTAGTCATCTAGTGGATTCTAGATTAATTACTTAGGAAATCCTGCTTACTGTATCAGACTTGGTGTATTCCAGACGTTGCAGTAAGTTGGACGGGTAACTTGACCCAAATGTGATTAAACTCGCGTCTTTCAGAGGGGCCTCATAGCTGAGATGGTTAGGGCGTTGGCTGTACTAAACCCTTCCCCTTACTGTCGTGAGTTCGAGTCCCACAGAGGCGCCGAGTTTTTCACAGTTGGGTCAATATGATTTTTGATTATTCACTAGGAGACCGTTTTCCAGCGACCATACTGAGATATGACCAACGCCATCCTTCAGAGACCGGAGATGTGTCTGATTTTTGAGAGGGTGTTTAACAATTACGTCGTCGGCACATTTTACTAACAGACAGTCGTTTGTTGAGGGGATAAAATGGAACCTTGGAAAACTCCGCAGTCATTGGAAAGGACCGCAGATTTCCGTTTGCCGGATTGGGCAACTTGACTGCAGGGAGTACATTAATCGCAGAGCCAACATAAAACCCACCCCGGAGAGTCACCCGCGGACGTTTTGGTAATGAGAGGAGAACGTGGAACGGTATCGAAGGCGAAGAAGTAGTCAAGAAATGCACATGCGTACTTGCAGCAACCCTTATCGAATTTTCGTAGGGCAGAGTGGACCACAAGAGCAACAGCATCTAAAGTACTACGCTTTGCCTTAAATGCACATTGTAAAAGATCGAAAAAACGGGAAGAAAATGGCTTTATAATATCCAAGGCAATTCAGTCAGCAAGCTCTAGTAATGCGGAAGGCAGATGGACGAAGGGATTTAAGCCCAGCGTTAGCGGTTTTTTTTAGGGATAGGAGTGATTCTCACTGTACGCCAGGCGTCAGGAATCTTGGACTCCATGAATGATATGTTAATAAGATGCGTTCAAATAGGGGCTATCCGAGAACAACAAGATCTAAGGAGATAGAGTCGTGCACCACCAGGTCCGGTGTTTCTCGGCTGCTGATATAAGAGAAGATGCGAGTTCCCGGAACCAGTTGATAAGGAGTAGAAGCGACCGCTGGAACAAGGGCTTTATTCGCCTGACTTTTCGGATTTTCGCTAGAACCCATCATCAGAGACAGTGGCAGAAAGGGTGATTCGTGCACAGGAAGTTGCAGTATTTATAAGATGCATTCGCTATGCCACTAAATACCTATGATAATTAATCGCCCTCCCCTTCATCGAGAACTGTTGCCCGACGGTGCGCTAGTTGCTTGATGGCCGACATACGAGTTGTTAATTGTTGAAATCTCATCACTCTTGTTGGATGCTGGCGTGATGATTGCTCGGCCAGCTGGATTACCGGCCTGCGCGCTCCCCGAATGGTTAACTAATTTGGCCCGACTAGGCCTCACTGGGGATGTCGTTGAACTTGTTGGTGGACGGGGGTTCCGTGAACCATGACTTAAGTAACCTGCGGCTCACGCGATTATCACCTCTCGCGAGAATTTCGGCATCATGGGACTTAAATGTGTGGCCGGGTCTCGTCAAATGGGCCGCGACTTGAGGGCTGGCGTCATTTCCACACGCCGCTTCCGCGTGTTCGGCGATTCGCGTCCGGAACAGTCTTCCAGTTTCTCCGACGTATTTTCTTTACTCACAACTGCGCCAGACCCGCCAAACGACTCCAGATGTTTCTCGCCATGGCAGTGGGTCTTTTGGTCTCATCACCTGACGCCTTATGGTGGCCTCCGGTCTGTGGGCATCTCCAACCCCAAGTGGTGCGAGAAGGCGGCTAACGGCCTCGGAGACGTTCTTGATTTACGGGATCGCTCGCCAGAATTTGGGGTCGGCGCGGTTTTGTCGCTCGTCTCGTTTCCGCATGCACCGGTTGACGAAGTTGCGCAGGTACCCATTTTCTCTGAAAACCCATCAAAGATATTGAAATTCGGCAACCTTGTCTTCCGATCCACTGCAGTGCGTCTCAACACGCCGATATAGCGTCCTTACGCAATTGCGTTTGTGGCCTACTGGGTGGTTGCTGTTGAAGTTCAGCATATGCGTCGTGCTCGTCGCTTTCCTGAACACTTTGGTATTTAGGCCACCACAATCTTTGCAACAGACGAGGACATCTCTACTGTTGCCACAGGCACGTGTGGGAAGGCACGTGGTTGTAGGAGATGTCGTTTGAAGGAAGATGGGAGTCTTTGTGACTAAAATAAAATTTTCATTTAAGGAGTCTAAATCAGCATTCACATGTATCGGTGTGCTATGATGGCCAGTGAGACGCTTAAGATTCTTTCAAATTTCGGTAGAGGAAGGAGAAAAGGAAGGGTACCAAGAACAGGTAAAAAATGACTAACAAACGCGTTATTTAGTCTGGCAATCTCTTTTTTATTAAGATGGTAACGTCCGTAAGGCTGTCACTTGAGCCCAGCTGGTAGAGGAGTTCCTTTCTGCCTCTTAAGAGTTCTGGATAGGGAGATGCAGTCCTATCCGGTCTTACCATAACAGTATCAAGAAGAGAGCTAATATCGAAAATGTCAATTAAAAACGTTCTAAGATGGCTAGAACATGATTTAATATTCGGTTGTTTAAGGAAAGCGGGTCTAGTATACGATATGCAAGTCTGAAGCAGGCGAATATTCTGAGCGGGCGTGTTGCTAACCTTAACATATCCTCGACAGAAACTCAACCAGCTAGAGTTAGAGACACAATTCGATAACCTCTTGAACTAAACACATGACCTTCAGCCACTTTCAACTGACAGCGTACAACGTCCTAAGTCCACCTTAGTCGATTGCTCTTATCAATACCTGAACAGTCGTCAGAAATATCGGGGCTTCAGAAGATGAAGATGCGATCACTGGAACATGAAATGTATTGACCTGACGTTTCGGATTCTCACTCGAATCACCATCTGCGAATGTCTCCGATGATGGATTCGAGTGAGAATCCGAAACGTCAGGCCAACAAATTTCTTGTTCCAGTGATCGCATCTTCTGAACTGCTACCTGGAACTCGCCTGTTCGCTTCTATCAGCAATATCGGGGCTTGCTGACGAAGTTACACATTGAGAAGTTGAAACAACTCCGGCAGAACAAAGACGTTCGGATAACTAGGCCAGATAAGGGAATGGCGTTGTTTTGATGGAGAGGATAGAGTGTTACAAAAATCCAGTCAATTCTGTCGAATCAGGAAAAGTTCAGAAAGACAGGGAAGGAGAAGGATCGTATAGATGAGATTGAAGCACAACTGATTGACTGCTTGAACGGACTTCAAACGGATGGTTGCATAAGCGAACACAACGTAGAGCGCCTCCGACACGTCGGCACGAATATACCTCGGTTATATGGCTTGCCGAAGATCCACAAAGATAGCACACCGGTTCGTCCAATCCTCGATATGTGGAACTCGCCATACCATGCAATAGCTAAATGGCTGACGGAGAAATTTAAGCCTCTGCAGTATCCACTAGCGGTAAATAGCTATCGAGATACCTTTGAATACATTAATGGCGTGAAAGACCTCGATCTGAGCGAAATGGTCATGTCTTCGTTAGATGTCTGATCCCTTTTTACGAATGTACCGGTAATGGAAACGGTCAACTACCTTTGTGATCTCATTGCGGACAATCAGCAGGATATAGGAATGCCAGTGAATGTCCTCAAGGAATTGTTATTGGGGTGCACCTTGAACGTGCAGTCCCTAGTTGACAACAGTCTGTATAGACAGATGAACGGCGTAGCTATGGGCTCGCCCCTTGGCCCGCTTTTGGCGAATATATTCATAGGAAAGTAAGAAGCTTTCCACGTACGTCACCAGAGCAACAGTCTGAGATACTATGGGCGGTACGTGGATGATATATTTTCAATTGCACCGAAACAAAGTGACATCTCAATTCCACTGGATGATATCAATCAGGCGCACCCATCAATAAAATTCACTCTGGAAGAAGAACAGTCCGGTTCACTTCCCTTTCTGGATGTGCTTCTGAGTAGAAGGCCAGACGGCAGCATTTGACGTAGCGTCTAGCGTAAGAAGACGTGGTCCGGGCAATACACCCATTTTGGGAGTTTCGTACCGCTAAACGTTAAACGTAATTTAGTCCGCTGTTAGACAGAAAGAGTGAGAAGAATCTGCTCAGCTGATGGCGTCGAGAAAGAGCTTAAGATCATCGAAAGCTTTTTTCACCAGAACGGGTATCCTGATCGATTAATTGCTAAGAACATGGCCAAAAGAACACCAAAGCCTCCAATACTTATGGCAGGAAAGAGAAGGCTCTTCATCGGGGCCCCATTTCATGGGGACGCGCCAAGTGAACTTTTAAGAAGACGCCTAACTCAAGCTGTATCACAGAGCTTTCCAGCAGCTGACACCCGTGCACTGTTTTTCACTAGTCTCACCCTATACGGAGAGGGCGAGGACAAACAATCAGCTCAGACCATCTCTATGTGTATTTACTCCTTCGCCTGCTCCTGTGGGGCAGAACATATTGGTCGCACGAGCCGGCGTTTATCCAAAAGAATAAAAGAAGATCCTTCAACATGGTTAGGAAAGGGTCAAATAAAAAACATCAACAGCTCGATCCTCGCGCACATAGTAGACACAGACCACCGTGTAGACGTCAGAGTGGTCTTCAGAGTGATTTACAAGGTCCCGTCAAGCTGTCCAAAATTACTTAGGCAGCGCTTGTTGGCTACGGCAGAGGCGGCTGCAATCGGGCTACGCGGACCGGTCCTATTCGCACAGAAGAACTTCACACATGTCCCACATTTGCCATGGCTCAAAGCCACCAAGCCAACCACCCGCATATAATTACCTTCCCTGGGACCCACCTTCTCCCTGGCGATGACTGGACTTGTGGTGTTTCACTTTCTCCCTCCCCTCCCCAAACCCGAGCTAGAGCATAATTATCTAATTGCCCGTATCTTTTTATTCATTACTTTAGTAGTCATATAAATTGACAGCTCTGAAGAGAATTTATCGAAAGTAGACGTGTGCTCGCCAAATTGCTTTTTGAATTTTTCAATGGGAATTTTCGCAACCCTTGACCTTTCTCTCAGGTTTGGCTAACAGTGCACGTTTAGAAGTGAGAAAAGTTTTCGGAACACCCAATAAGAATCTCCTAATGAGCTGGTAACAATCGGAATATCGAAGTTGTTTAATGAGACGTCCAAAATTTTCGTTCTCAAATTTCACGTGTCTGGCTTAAAAAGCCCCTGCATTAAAAAACTCGATGGTTTTTAATGAAAGTGGGATGGTAAATTGCATTTCTCCTAAATGTGCCTTCATCTATTATTTCGCCATCTTCGATATCCCCTCATCGCTTATTATAGAAGTAAAACCGATGTGCCACTACCTTAATCCTACCGTACATTAAGGATCTTGCATACAAGAAGGGCGGCAGTGGTCGTAAAATTTGAGTTGGCCATTACCCCAACTGCCGAGTGCTGTCAGACCTTGGCCTAGGATGAGGAGGCGGTACTTTGAGGTCCGCACAGGTGAAACAGACCCGTCCAGCTGAGAATCAGCTGGTTGTCTCAGCCTCCATTTTAATGCGGAAAAGGCTCCGTTGTGTGCTGAGAATTACCGCACGATACCACAACAACTAAGGTCACGTGAGATGATGCAACTTGACGATATTGGCATTTGCGTTTCTAAGTTATTAGAATGGGTCTGGCAGTGTCCTGTTAAGTGTGCAGTGAAGTTAACTTTTGCGCACAGAAGCAGTCAGTAGTATCTCGGGGCCTCCCGAAGTAGGCAGCTGCAGAATCATTCAATGCCTAATATGTGTTTCACTCGTTACACATTCCTTTTTACTATTTCTTCGGTCTTCACATCCTTCTATCCTTTAACCGACTTTTATTCAACACACACTTGGGACTCGTTTTTTACAAATAAACGTACAAACACACACACTTGACACTAATTCTTGAAGAGGGGCTTAAATGTGCGCGACAATCGTCAAAGGGTAGTTGAGCAGGGCTTATCAACTGGAAGTCAAGTTGAACAGTGCTTCGGGCTGCGTGGGAAGAAAGGTCTTCCGCCTCCCTTAAGGACGGATAATTAAGCGAAGACTTCTAAGCAGCCCAACGACTAGCCATTTTTAAGAGGCAGCCACTTGAGCGCAATCGAAACGATCAAGCAATTTGTTCCTGCGGGAGGTTCATCGACAGCTCTGACGTTTAAATTATGACTAGGCTTTTCCTAACACAGCATAAGGTTGCATCTACGAGTTCATTTAAATATTTAACGTCTACGTAAAAGGCTGATTATCTTAATCGATCCTGCCCTCTTCACAAATGTTGGAAATTGTCCCTAGTGTCTTTAGCAGCCCTTAAAGACAGCGCTGGGTTTTCCAAGCTAGAAGTCAGTGATATCTCGTCAGAGATCTGAAATGCTTATTCAACGTAAAAGGTGAGTCTCACTGCCTCTGCAAAAGTTTTCTTCTACTATTTTTGACTTTTCCGCCACCGCAATAACTATTTTCAAATTACTCCCGGCGCACAGATGGGCAGGTGGCTCAGCCTTTCGCATCTAGATGAATCCATTCCTTCTTCTCTTGAGCCACACACGCAAGAACATCTGGCAATGCAATCTGACATCTACAGATTTTCGTCCTTATGAATATTCTTAGTCACACAAGCCAAACTATAACGAATTGGACGGAATACATCTAACAACAGAATTCACAGTATGGCAAAACCTTTGAGAAGCTTCTTTAAACAGTCAGTTGGTGTGCTGAGCGACAGCGATTGATACAGATGCATTGTATCTCATCAGATAAATTAAAATGCGGGTAAATTAACTTTCGCTAGTACAGTCAAATGAGAGTTCGGACTTCAAACAAGGATCATGGAAAGAATTCGCACTTCGTAATTTGATCTCCCGATATGTGCCAATTTCGTATATAAAGGGGTCTTTTCAAACAAATCCGACAGTGTCTGGGCGTTCGGTCAATGTGATATATTCATAGATGTTTTGGCAGACTTTTGAAT